GCTGAGCAAACGGTAGCTGAGACTAATTCAACACAACCACCGCACTCCACACCCTCCACTTCGCAAAAGAGAAAGGAAGACAAAACAGGAAGCTGATTTAGCAGTAGGCATTGCTAACTTGAATGTAACAAAGGACAAGGAGAAGGTAAAGAAGGCGGAAGAATCAATGGACATTGACGAGATACTCCAGCGAAGGAAAGCGGTGAGTCCAATGGCTTCGGAGAAGTGTGGTGGCTGAGATGGGTTTCAATATGGAAAAAGGGGTAGTAGAGACGGAGGAGGCCAAAAAAAGAAGGAAGGAGAGTTTCGAAGGAATAGTGCAGTTTCTGGACGAACTCGCCATGACTAGGAGGGAGGTCAGGGATTTCTCCGACCCTCTCAAGCCTAACCCAGCGCCCACCTCCATTGCCAAGCCGAAGGTGACATCCCATAGTACATTCATGATCGAACCTTATACTGTTGAGGAATTGACAGCACGTCAGTTTCACACAGTATTCGATTTCAGTACAACAAATAACATTTCGAAGGATCGCATTGGTGATATTAAGATTCCAGATAGAGATAATACACCACCGCGATCCTCAGACTTCGAAGTGGCATCACGTGTAGACCACATCCTCCAAACATTGCTAGACCTAGTTCATACTACACAATCATTCCATAACCTTGCGGTTACCTTGATCCGGAGTCAGCCTCTGGATATAAGATACACGCACCTTATGGGATGGATTCATGAGTTAACTCATGGTATTACCTCGATTTACGTTAATAGGGATTGTTACAAGAACTCATTTTACCCAGGTTGTTCCAAAGTAATCAAGACCAGACCTATTTAGATTCACTCTACAAGTATTCGGTATCACAGAAGATACCTTCACAGAGATATTACAACACAGCTCAGCAGTTACCGCACATGCCACGCGGATGAGTACTGGAAACTCATCTGATGGTTACTTCATGAACCACTATAGGGTTCGTGTGACCAGAGAAGATGAACAGTACCACTCTAGTTCATAAACTGGCGCAGTCCCACCATGGCCTGACAAGCCTGAGACCTACCTAAAGACTCTTTGGTGGTGGCGCGACAACTACTCAGAGGCACTAATGATTAGGACAACGGACGAGTTTCTGTAAACGCTAACCCTAGACAGACGCCTACAAGAGGAAGCCCGATGCCCCAGCTCCCATACAGGCCGAGCAGTACATACAACGTGCTCTAAGAGCCATTACTATCCAACATATGGGACCCCGCGAGTATACTCCAAGGCCGCAGAGTGCCGCAGAACCTTGCGTATCCCCCGAGGCTGGACGTGAGTCCACTTTCTCTTTCAGGGTAGGAGGCGAACATGCGGGGCTAGGTAAAAGGAGGCATAATACAGATAATACAATGCGTGAGACCGAGCCTCCATCAATGAGGCAGATACGACCCACGACACTCATAGCTCGTCTCGACGGTCGCTAGAGCATGCCCCGACCCAGCCTAATACATATTTCAGGTTTCCGCTACGGTGAGCTCCGCCCGAGGATGACGAGGCTTGCGTTTTCTGCGGTTCAGAAGCGCACTTTAGCTCCGATTGCGACCAGTAACCCTAATTCAGCGACAGGGCGCATCGAGCAGAGAGTTTTGGAACCTGTTGCAACTGCATCAAACAGCATTATGGACCTTAAATTCGCAAGGATCCCTGTAGCATATGCAAGCAGGAAAGCCATCACAGGTCATTCTGTATCCGTAACTGGTTCGCCATTTATGACCTGAATATTACTTCGGAACCCTTCATCGCTTGAGATCCTGGATATATTGCGCCCCTCCTCTCGGAGTGCCCACTCGTAGACCGTTCCAGTGTACTCGCTCCGAGCAGGGCAGGGACGGAGGAGCTGACTGTTCGAGGTCCTCAAGACGAACGCCTCCTCCTAAGAGATCCCTCCACCTCGTATCCGAGGCACCAACGGGAATTGTCTCCTGCCAAAAGTGATGAGTCCTGGCGAAGCGAAGACAGTAAAACATTTTAAATAATGAACTGAGGACAATATAATACATTGAGCAATACACGGAGATGGTATAATACAGTGTGTTTCATAAGTATGTGCACACCAAACATTTTGTTTTTTTTTAGGATACCATTGCTTTCTGTAACCTGTGACCTTCATCATTCAATACCTTGCGTGCGATAACCTACGAACACTTCCTCTGAGGAAACATCGTAGCTGCTAACAAAATTTTTTAATAAAGAAAAAATTTTCCTTTGTTCCAAAAGTATGTGCACAAAAAACAAAAACATTTACCGAGATTAGAAATCAATTGGGCCCTCTCAATTTCTGTGAAGGTTATCGACTACGGGGAATCGTTTGAGAATGGTTTCGTT